CCTAAGAGAAGGCAGGAGAATGTGCCTACAGGGACAACTGTCCCTATTGCTGCCCCTCTATCACCACCGTGCCCACTGCCAGAGCTTCCCTCTACTAATGAAGCGTGGAATAAGGTGGTAAAGAAAGGATTGCGCTGGAAGAAGAATGAAGGTGCTCAACAACTTCCAACACAACCTAAGAGACAGGCAATGGCGACATCTGCAAAACTGAAGCTCCGTACGCCCAGTTCCGCAGCAGTTGTTTTAACGCTTCCGCCGGATGCCGAAGAGAAAGGCCTTACATACGTAGCAGTCCTAAAAGTCCTGTCCAGTCCTGGCGGAGCTTGGTATAGAAGCGGTCCGGTTCAGACGAGCTGTCACGGGGGCCACCATCATTCAGGTCCCCGGGACAGGTGGTGAGGAGAAGGCGGATATTCTGGCGTCTAGATTAAAGGAGGTCTATGGTGAGGGAAGAGTTCGGGTTTCCAGACCTGTTAAATCAACTGAGTTGATGATCTCGGGGCTGGATGAGACAGTCACCCCAGAAGAGGTCAAACAAGCCATTTGCTCTAAGGTCAGTTGCTCGCCGGACAATGTGAAGGTCGGAAGCGTCCGTCAGAACAGGACTGGCCTTTTTGCGGCATGGGTCAGGTGCCCAGTGACGGCGGCCAGAAAGCTGACCGAAGGAAGGTTATTAGTGGGATGGGCTTCTGCCCGAGTTGTTCTCTTGAGGGCCCGAGAACTGAGATGTTTCCGCTGCTTTCAGGGCGGCCATGTAGCAGCACGGTGTACTGCAGATATGGACCGCAGTCACCTTTGTTTTCGGTGTGGTCAATCTGACCACCGAGCAGGGAGTTGCTCTGCAAATCCGCAATGCGTTCTGTGTGCTGCGGCTGGCCAGAGAGCAAACCATCTACTGGGGGGTAACGCGTGTTCGGCCCCCAGCAAAAAGATGCCCAGAAGGACGTGGACCGCGAACAAAACGGCCACTGGTGCCCCACCGATCGGGGACACGGAGCAAATGGAGATAACACCTGGTTTATAGATGTCCCTCCAAATCCTACAGGCGAACATCAACCACTGCGCCAAAGCTCAGGATCTTTTACTCCAGAGCATGGCGCAGTGGTTAATCAATATCACAATAGTATCGGAGCCGTATGTGATCCCCCAGAGGGAAAACTGGTTTGGCGACCGCAACGGTTTAGTTGCGATTGCCGTTTCGTTGCCTGAAGGCTTGCCTCGAGCCTCGCTAAAAGGAAACGGCTGTATCGCTGTTAAACTAGAAAAAGTCGTTGTAATTGGAGCTTATTTTTCGCCGAAATGGGCTCCCTGGTGGAATGGGCTCGACCATTAAATGTTATTGTTGCAGGGGATCTCAACGCGAAGTCGTCTATGTGGAACTCTCCGGTAACCGAAGCCCGTGGCGATGCGGTTGTTGATTGGATCGCCACTCACAACTTGGTGATATTGAATCGAGGATTGGAACGCACATGCGTGCGAATGCAGGGCAGTTCTATCGTTGATGTAACTTTTGCATCCCCGGAACTAGCACATCGCGTCTCCAACTGGCGTGTACTTACAGAGGTTGAAACGCTTTCGGACCATAGGTACTGCCGACCGCCCCGCCGACAGGTGTACTGGTGGTCGCCTGAACTCACCCAGCTACGGACGGCTTGTGTAGTTGCCCGACGCCGCTACACCCGATTACGTCGAAGACGCCTTGCTCCACGCGATCCGGAAGAAGAAAGAAGGTGCTACGGCGAATACCAAGCAGCAAAATTAACTCTGCGCATTGCAATCGGAGAGGCCAAAGAGAAAGCTTGGGAAGATCTTTTACAAACTTTGGAGCTAGACCCATGGGGGCGGCCATATAGGCTAGTGATGACCAAGCTGCGCCCTTGGCTTCCGCCACTCACTACCACTCTAGAACCGGTGTTCCTGGATACGGTAGTCTCCGCGCTATTCCCGGCTAACAGTTCGCAACCAACATCTCGCGACGACCTCCTCTATGATGAGGAAGTCCAAGAAGTGACGCCTGAAGAACTCTCTGTGGCAATACTAAAGCTTCAGAGCAAAAAGACAGCCCCCGGACCAGATGGTGTTCACGGGAAGGTCTGGGTCCATGTCCTCAATAACGGGCTGGAAGAAAGGTTTCGGGAGTTGCTAACCCATATTTTACAGAACGGCCACTTTCCGAGTAGCTGGAAGACGGGAAAACTTGTATTATTAAAGAAAGAGGGTAAATCACCTGAGTCCCCATCGGCCTATAGGCCGATTGTTTTATTAAATGAAGCAGGCAAGCTATTCGAGCGAGTGCTAGCAGCCCGCATTGTAAAACACCTTGCAACGGACGGGCCGGATTTGGCCGATACCCAATTCGGTTTCCGGCGCGCCCGGTCTACCATCGACGCCGTTGCAAGGCTAAGAGACGTTTGCGAGGAGACACTCGCGCAAGGAGGGGTGGTGCTGGCGGTGTCATTAGACATAGCAAACGCTTTTAACACCATCCCCTGGAATACCATTATAGACGGCTTAATCTTCCATGACGTACCAGTATACCTCCGGCGCATGATAAGGTCCTACCTTTCGGCCCGAACCGTCATCTACCCGGGTCGGGGAGGTTGGAAGGAACACAGGGTTGAGTGTGGTGTTCCACAAGGGTCTGTTCTAGGCCCACTCCTATGGAATATCGGATATAACTGCGTCCTTCGTGGCTCACATCTACAAGGTGTCAGCCTAATATGTTATGCCGACGACACACTTATCACTGCAAAAGGTCGTACATACAGAGAAGCTTGCATCCTCGCAACGGCGGGGGTGGCACAGGTTGTGGCGCAAATAAGGCGCATTGGCCTCCAAGTCGCCCTCGAGAAATCTGGGGCGGTCTGTTTCCACGGCCCAAGACGAGCTCCTCCTGACGGTACACAATTGGTCGTATGTGGTGTGCCCATAAGAGTAAGCCCCACTTTAAAGTATCTCGGGCTTGTCCTCGATTCTCGATGGACTTTTAAGGATCACTTCTCGGTACTTGCCCCGAAGCTCGCTACCACGGCTATGGCACTCTGCCGGTTAATGCCAAATCTTGGTGGGCCGAGTGCGGGGTGTCGCCGGTTATTTGCAGGTGTGGTCCGGGCGAAGGCCCTCTACGGATGCCCCATTTGGGCCGATTGTCTATTCGCTCAAAACAGGGCGATTCTGAGACAGTCGCAACGGGCGATGGCCATAAGGGTGGCAAGGGCGTACCGCACCGTCTCTTGCGAGGCAGCGTGTGTTATTGCAGGAACTGCCCCCTGGCACCTCGAAGCGGCTGCCCTAGCCAAGATCTATTGGCATAGGGCAGATAGCAGAAGTAGGGGTTTCGACCCCCTTCCTGAGCACATAAACAGTTGGAGACGGGAAGCCCAAGTGACCGTCCTTCAGAAATGGATGGATGAGTTACAAGATCACAGGGCAGGAGTCTGGACAATTACATCTATACGTCCAGTGCTCAACTTGTGGGTAAATAGAAGATGGGGGGCACTCTCGTACCGACTCGTTCAGGTCCTCACAGGCCATGGATGTTTCGGTGGATACCTTCACAGGGTTGCCAGGAGGGAGGCATCCCCCATTTGTCACGAGTGTGGTTTCGCAGACGACACAGCGCAACACACTTTAGAGGTTTGTCCGGCGTGGAGCTCTGAGCGTAGTTTATTAACCGCCACCTTCGGATTGGATCTGTCGCTTCCACTCATAGTGAAAGCTATGATGGAGGCTGACAGTGACGGCCCGTGGAACACTTTCAAAGCGTTCTGTGAGGCCGTCATTACACTTAAAGAGAATGCGGAGAGGGTTCGGGAGTGTAACCCAGACGCCGACCCTCAACGCAAAAAAAGGCCTGGAAGGACGCGTCGCGATTACGCACGTACTCCACTGTGCCCTTAGCACAGAATTGGGCAACGCAGAAGTTGTGCTCACACAGCAGACGCTCATGACGGAGGCACGGATTAAGGGAAACTGTTACCGCGCCTACCGTCCATAGCGCTGTTGGGTTTTAGTGGGTAGGTGTCCATTGCACCATACGGACTGACTCCCACACTCCCTGTGTCACTTTTAAATCGTTGCCCCGGCGCGGGGGTCAGTAAATTGATTTCCCAACAATAAAAAAAAAAAAAAAAAAAGGTTCGCTTAATTAGATACCTAAACATAGTCACAAATATTAGAGAACTAAGTCTGCAAAAGCATTAATGATATAAAATAAATTAACTGTCATAATGCTCGATATCCTAGTCTTTTAATCAACTCATTAAATAACAATATCACTTATATTTTTGCAAAAAATAAAATTCTTTGCAAAAAATATGTCTCCTTTAAATCTCTACTGTACAAACATTACCTGTTCATATCGTATCCCTAATTTTCGTACTAAGTGATGTGAAACTGATGTAAAATTATCGTGATTCATGTGCACTTTTTCTTTTTCATGTCTTTTTTTATGTTTTGTTTCATTTGTTTTGTCAATATTTCTTATGTAAAAAAAAAAAAAAAAAAAAATCACTTTATTTGACGAAAAACATTTGGTACTTACATTCTAAAGGTTATAAACATACAATATGCAACGAATCGTTGTGTTTTCACTATTATTTTTGGTGAACCTCGTACATAAAATAATTATATGTGCACTAGCGATTAAACTAGGCCTAGTCTGTATCTTAAACGCTAGTTCCTTCCAGTGTCTTTAACAAATTGGTTAGGTTGTTTGTCATTACATATTTATACGGGTTATATTTTTATTGTTTGTAAAACTAAATGAGGGTAGAATCTAAAAAAAGTTGTTGCAATTTGTTAGACTATAGTAAATGTGAACTTCGACAAATATTTTTTAAATCTTGTGGATGAGAAACTTGAATTTGAGATATGAATTTATTGTCGTTATAATTTATATAATTACGGATTCTAAAATGTAGTATTAAGATTTTATATTTAATTTACATTTCAGCACACTCTTAGGACTGAAGTTAGATATTTTAAAAAAGAAAATTTTATTATTTTACATTAGTAAACAAATTTTCTATTTCATTATATTTCTGTGTTTTTAGCCATTCAACCAGTTTTATTTTACATTCATAGATATTAAGGGGATAAATATTAAGAATTTTATTCAGTCTATTGTACAACATGGGGCCTGTATAACATTGAAATTTTTGTAAGTAGCTTGTTTTTGCTTGAGTGGTGGGACAGACTCTATGTGTTCGTCTATTTGTGATGGCATCATCATAAATTATTTTTTTATGTTGGTAGATTATTATATTTTTAATGTATATTTGTCTGACTGTTAGGACGTCGCATTCTGAATAAAGATCGACCGTAGGGTACCTGAATGGTTTAAATTTAATGACTTTAAGTAAGGTACGTTGTGCTCTTTCTACTTCTATCAGATGAGTCTTTCGGGCACCACCCCAAGAAGAGATACAATAACTCAAGATAGACTCAGCCAGTGCTGTGTATACATTTTTTATTAGTTTGTGATCCGCTACGTGCCTCAGCTTCCTAAAAATACATATGAGTCTCCTTATTCTCCCCGCCAGCAAGTTAATGTGTGGGACCCATGTTAATCTTTCGTCTAGGAGCACCCCCAGGTATTTAACTATTCTGGTTCTATCTAGAAAGGTGCAGTTACATTCATTTTGTACATTGTATTGGCAGGTGTGTAGTTGAATCCCGAAATCATTTCCAATTGGTAGAGATCGTACTGTATTTCTAAAGAGAATGAATTTCGTTTTAGTAGTATTAAGAGTTAATAGGTTATAACTAAGCCATTTTGCTATTTTATTTAAGCCAGTTTCGGTATTTAACTTTGCTTCATCCCAAGTTCTACCGTGAAAAACAATAGATGTATCATCCGCAAAGGTGAATAATCTTCCGCTTTTTATATCTAAATCACACAAGTTGTTGATATACAATAAGAAAAGTGTTGGACCCAAGACGCTACCCTGCGGCACTCCATACTCACAACACACAGCATCATCACTGTAGTCATTTGCCAATTTTACCCTTTGTTTCCTACTTTTTAGATAGTCTTTAAATATTTTCAGTGACGTCCCTCTGATACCAACTTGTTCCATCTTGCTTAGCAAAATAGAGATAGAAACTGTGTCGAATGCTTTTGCAAGGTCCAAAAACACTCCGACACATCGATATTGCTTGTCAATGTGAGTGGCAACATATTCTGTAAGTTCCAGTACCGCATCTGCTGTATATCTGCCCGTTCTAAAGCCAAATTGATTGTTTGACAGAATATTTTCTTTTTCAAGGTACAATATTAATCTTTTGTTCAAAATTTTCTCTACTATCTTAGACAGAGCTGGCAATACAGATATAGGGCGATAATTACTGACACAGTTTCTATTTCCTGCTTTGTAAATTGGATGGATGACTGATATCTTGAATACTTCAGGGAATACACCTGTTTCAATGCAGGAGTTTGTGATATGGGTCATAACAGGAACTACTATTGCTTTTAGCGATTTCAGAAGCTTTGTAGGGATATCATCCCATCCTGTGGCACTGTCTGAATTTAAATTGATTAGGATCGCTTCAACTTCCTCTTCGGAGGTTTCTAGCATGGCCATCGAATTTACTGGATTTTGGGTATGTTCAGGATTATCAGTACTGTGCAACTTTTGAGCTATAATTTTTTCAGCTAGTTCTTTACCAATACTAGTAAAATAGGAATTGGCTTTATTAAGAGCGTTTTGTGGTGTAGTTCCCGTTTTGAGTAGGTCTATGGGTGATTCTTTTTTGTTATTTCTGTTAGTTATGCTGTCTATTATCTTCCATTTTAGTTTAGGATTTTTAACATGTTTGCTTAATTGGCTTTTCTCATAATTTCGCTTAAGGCGTTTTAGTAATTGAGCCTAATACAGCGCAATGGTCTGTAATAGGAGCATCTATAACTATTGTAGAAGATTCAAAGGTTGTTTTTATCATAAGATGGTCTATGCAGTTGCTTTCTCTTGTGGGGTACGTATGTCCTGGAAGAATCCCATGTGATGCTAATAAATTTAAATAGCCTTCCGAATTTTTATCTTCGTTGCAAGATTTGATATCTATGTTTAAATCACCAGCTAAAATTAGGTTACGATAATTTTTATATTGCGAAAGTAATTTGTCTAGGGAAAGGAGAAAAGGATCGATGCTTCTTTGTGACGGTGAACGGTAGATACCATTCACAGCTGTATGGTTATCAATTACTACTGCAATGCACGTGGCATCATTAAGTGGGATTTCTTCGACCGAGCAATTTAATCCTTGTTTAGTATACATAACTATGCCGTCATTTTGATTGCGATGTACTCTTGAATAGTGCAAATCATAGCTCAGAAGAGATGGAAAATTTGCAGCTTTTGAGTTCCATGCCTCTGTTAATATATATATTTCACAGGGAAGATCTAATCTTTTTAAAAATACTTCAAAGGCGTCAAAATTCTTCTTTATACTTCTGATATTCTGTGTAAGGATGTTTAGATTGTACTTATATTTTGATGCTAGGATTAATTTGCAGGATTCAACACTACACACATTTGAAGTACCTGGTTGAATCTTATCAATGTTTTTTATTAAATTATCATTATTTAAAGGATTGAATGTTACTATTTATTGGTGTGACGTAGCTAAAAACTTGTTTTGTTGATTTTATAATTATTTTAAAACTACTTACTATATATGTTATCCTGGTAATAAAATGTAAAATAAATATTTCGTTGTTGGTAACTTTTAGCAATTGCAAACTAACCACAAATTTTGGAAAAGGGAAAACAACTTCTAGTCACATCTCTGTTTTCAGCGAGATGAGTTGATTTTCATCCTTAATCTCGATGTGGGATGAGTCGGGAGTCTTGCGAAGAAACACCTTTCCGTTGCTGGTCCAGCAGAACTTGTAATTACGGCTCTTTGCCAGATCTCTGGCCAGGAAGAAGAGTCTACGTCCTTTACTGGTAAGTGCTTCAGAGACGTAGATTGGTGTCGGTGGGCTTTTAAAACCCAAGCAGGTTGTGCAGGGTGCTGTTTATTGTAGGCCTTACAACCATTGATCACATGGTTTTTTGTCATCACCGATGTAAATTCGGCAATAATGGTACCCTTACTAGCTCTACCATTTAGACGGAACACATCTCTGATTGCGGCTTTATCGACTTTCACCTGAAGAGCTTTCACTGAGTTTTGAACAATCTGGCAGAGTTCGGCTTTGCTTTCCGGTTTTTCCAGCAAGGGTATATTCCGTATTTCAATACTGGATGCTTTTGATGATCGTTGCATGTCGTCTAGTTTCATTTCCAGTTGAGCTATGTGAAGCTGACTTTGCTTGTGTTCCGTCTCAAGAGCTTCCACCTTCCTCTTCATATCTTTGTATAGTCCATTGATCATAATCATCGATTTTTCAATTTCATCGTTAGAGCGTTCGATACCTTTGTTCTGTTCTTTTATCTCTATAACCTCGGCAATCAGTTTTGATTACTTTGTATCCTGGGATTTTTGCCACTCCTCAAACATACTCTTGAACTCATCTCTAAAAGAGGGAAGTCCATCGTCATCATTTGATTGGCGGAATCTTTTGTTACGTTGGGACACAAAAGTTGGAGTGGGGAAGTCAGAAGCAATTTTAGATACATCAGAATCAGAAGATGTTTGCTGCAAATTGCTTGCAGGTGGGGTACGTAAAACTTTGGGCATTTTCCAAGTTCGAAGTTTAAGCGGTCGTTTATAGTGTAAACTCGTTACCAGTTACCTTAATCTGTCTTCGCACCGAATTTGGTTGAGGCGAAGGTCCAACTGTCTTGGTTGCTGGTTTGATGTTGTTGCTGTCTCACAATCGCCTTTTCGCTCTGTGCGCCTGGTACTTGTTTCCGAATTTCAACCAAACTTTTTAAAATATTTTGTTTAAGAAAAGTTATTTAAATTAAACACACGTCTATATTTGCTTTCGAGGTCCAGGGGGGAAGGGGCTTTGTTTTTTTGCACTTCTTAGGCTTGCCTTATCTAATATTTTTTTCTCACATTCGTTGCCTGGAAGAGATCGCTTGAAATATAAAAGGCCGCCAGTTGTCCTCATTTTGATTGAATTAAGTCAATTCTATTATATTTCAGAATGCCACGAAGTGTTAATAATTAATAAATAAATAAACAAAACTGAATCTTTTAGCCGTGCTCAGAATTATTGTTCATTAAGAATTAACTCTCACATTAAGTTTTCCCTATCGGCTAAAAATAAAATTAAATGCTTTTATTTAAAAATTCTTAACAGCGTAACTTCATTAATAGCCTTCATTATAATTAGCATTAATTAACTTCTTGTGATTTATCGAAATCTCTTGAGGCCATACTTTGCGAAGAGGCTAATTATTAAATCTTAAGAAGCTCACATTTCAAACAGCGTATTTTTACGAGTTTTTTTAAATGTTTTTGCTAAGTATTCATTAAATTAATTATGAAATATATATGATGCTGAATTCATTTAACGATTTACATGAATTCGTTTGTTGAAAAGACTTGATTTATACACAAATAAATGTTAATACAAAAAATAAACAAGCATGGTGACATTAATGTACTCGAAGAATCCGTCTTTAATAAACCATTTTCACATTCTAAACGTAATTTTTGTAAAATTTATTTTGTGTTTCGCTTTTTTTTGTGTAGTTCTTCGTGATTTTAGTAACTATTTTTTTCTTTTAAAGGTATCGAATATCTCGCATCTGAAGTAATTTCTACAAATCAACGAAATTGGTTCTAACGAGGAAATTATTTCGCCTAATAAATTACCCTATTACCAAGCTTTATATCTGAATTCCAACTAAAAGGTAAGTGATAACAGTGCCCTATAGTAACCATTTAATCTTTCCCGTTAAAGCCAGCGACCCGTACTAGGGCGGGGTAAATCCTCGGCTATTTCATAATTCATTAAAGGTTACCGAGATTTGAGTCCTATTAATCGCTGCGGATAGGTAATATATTCGCAATTGTATTGTTATGATTTGTTGTTGTTATGATATGGACAGACTAAGACCTGGACGAGATTGGTATACAAGAAGGATAATGGCCTTTGCCCGTAGGCACCTAGAATATTGTAGATTAAGAAAAACAATAACTATAATGTACTCGTATATATTTTGTATTCTGATATAAGGCAAAATAAATAAATTGTTATCATTTAATTTTGAATAGATATTCTAGTCTAATTGTATTTTTGCACAATGCCTGTATTCCATGTTGGTTAAACATATGTTTTATGTATATATAAAAAATATACTCCTAAAACACATAAGGATGATTATTAATATAGTGTAGATAAAAATCTCATTAAAATAATGTGAATCATATATCTTGTGTCTGCATTCCAGGTTTTAATTGTATTTATAAAACACAGATGGATAAAGCACACAACATTTATAAAAATGAATCACTATTTATAAAAGAAAAATTGTTACCATACCATTTAAACCTGCAAAAGCTCTAGACCGAAACATTTTTGTATAATTGCCTTTCTCTCCGGGAAAAGTATAAAGGGTATCCATTAAAATGGTCCATCCATTTCACATAACACGCCGTAAACGTCAAAACATCGGCTCTAAAATGTAATTAAAAGTGAAAATGTTGTTTTCGGAAAAAAATCGTAAACATTAAGAGCCGGTCGTGACCGATTAGCATCTTTTGCTGAAAAATACAATGTGCTTTTTAATAATGACCCAAGGGCCTAATCGCTTTGAAAAAATGACTTCCAATTAGAAAAAAGGTTCGATAGGAGAAATAATGGGTCAGATCCATAGCGACGTCGAAGATTGATTGTTTCTTGCCCCCTCGGACTTACCAACCAAGCGTGAACGCTGTAAAAATGTCCGCAATCTACTAAAACCCATTATAAGAAAAAGTAGACTGTATCTGTAAATATTATCAGTTTTCAAACATTACAAATACTAGACTGCTAATCTATGCGATATAATTCAGCAAATAACTGACTTGCGTAACACACTCACAAAATAGCTTTTTCGACAAAGTTGCAGGCATCTGTTTACTATCAGTGGTACAAATAAAACTTACTTATTCGAACCTTATGTTAGGAATAGTTATGCTTAGAATAAGCTAAGAATAAGGAGATCATATTTTCTTACTTATAAACTCGTAACTACGATGGTTAACTATTCCCCCGTTATGTCATATGCACAAGATGGCAACGTGGCAATTAATAGATAAACTTAATAAATAAGACAGAAACTTGTCTATGATAACCGTGTCCGTGCCGTGTCGTGTCATCTATCAGTTTGACGATTCCATTCGTGGTGATTTTGATCCGTGATTTATTATTACAAAGTTAAAAAATATTAAGTAATAAAAGGGAACAAAACACTATTAATTGAGTATGTTTATGCCAAGGTTACTAGTATGTATCACTTTACGTCATATTGCTTAGTTGACATAGCGATCCTTATACATTGTCTTGGGCTGGTGCTTGCTAAAAGAATCGTAGAATCATCGGTTAGAGGCCATTCGGTATACCGAATTTTGAATTAAACCATCCTAATACTCTGAACTTCTCATTGTATGTAATATCAATAAGATTATGTTAAAGTTACATAACGAAGCACGATCTAATCCAATCAATATCATCGCTAACGTGGTTATTCGCGATCAATGAATTGCATGGTCCATCGGTCGTTGAGTCTTTTGAAAAAGTCGAAAATATTGCCTTTCTATTTGACGTTCGTTTCAAATAAAGCCCGCAGTTCGGTCATTTTGAATACATCGCTTTTTCAATATCTCTTCAATAACAGCTAAACAAGAGGAGTAATGATTGCTCACTTCAAATCTCTGTTGAAAATAGATACTTTGTTTATATACGATCTTCATTTTGCTCATTGTTTGTTTCAGAAGTGTCTTGAAATTTTGAACAATATAAATAGCAGGGTTGGATAAACACCAGTAGCTCATCTTTCATTTTCCGATGAGGCTTGGGGCAGAGAATTTTGTCACTTCTAGAGATTAGGATTAATCTCCAAATATAGTGATAATTTTCATGTCATTAACAACATCAACAAATATATTCTGTGATAGACACTTTTTTTGCTATATATATATATATATATATAGGAAACACAAAAGATTAGAACGTGTAGGTACTTCAGACTTTTAAAATCTACTGAGGTTAGGTTAGTAACAAGTCCGTTCCGCACGAAGTCTCGAGAAATAAAAGTGAGTCAACGCCGGTGTTGCCACGCTTTATATAGGTTTTGCTAAAAATGGCTTAGTCCGCTAACACGGCCTTTCTGAGA